GCCCCGCGCGCCGCCCCCGCCACCCGCCTCCTCCCTGCAGCGAGGGAGGCTTAGGGACCCCTCCCCCCCCCCTCCCCGCCGTCCTCCTTGCTCCGACTGGTCTTGCACCCCCGGCTGGTCTGACTCTCTCACCTGGCAAGCCTGGGAGGAGGGGGCTGCTCGTGGCCAGGTGACCTCTCCCAAGCTTAGCGAGGCGCGGGTGGCAGGAGGACAAGCATCGGCCCGTCAGCACCACGGGTCCTGACCCTGGAAACTGCTTTGCCTAGGTGGGCTGAAGCGGAGGGGTCCCTCTGTGCAGTGCAATTTACAGGACTCGGCCCCCTAAATCAAGTGGTTTTCAGCTTGTGCCTGTGCATTCCTGGGGGTCTGCAGAGGATGCCTGGGCATTGGCAATGGGATGGGCAGGAATGATGTCTCTAGCCCCTGTTTGTCAGAGTGACAGGGGAGGGATCACTTGATGGTGACCTGTTCTGTTCATTCCCTTTCAGGGTACCTGACAGAACACTGGGCTGGATGGACTTTTGGTCTGACTCAGAATGGCCGTTCTCGTGCCTAAGATTGCCAAAGAGGTCCGCACCTCCATTTGATATTTTTTAGAGGTCTGCAAATGTAAAAAGGTTGATAACCGCTGCCCTGGATAGATTAGACATACAGAGTTTTATTAAAAAGTAAATGCAGTAGTGTGGTATGATGCTACCATCATAGGATAGAATATTTTTATTGTATTGCTTTTTTGGTATGTTTATATTCATCCCTATTTTATTAAGTGCCATTTACTTAAACATAGAAGTACATCAGTTCCCTCTGGGAAGAAAAAGCAATTCTCATTCTCTTCTCTCACAGATTAAAGTCACTTTGTTAAGGGGAATTCAGTCTACATTGTTCATTTACTAATGCATGCAGCTGAGGCCACAACTCAGATGTGTTACTATACTGCAAGGCTACGTCTACACTGGTGCGTTCTCATGCAAAAACTCTTCTGCGGAAGAGTTCTTCTGCAAAAATTCTTCCAGAAGAGAGCATCTACACCGGTGTGTGCTTTTGTGCAAGAGATGTGCTTTTGCGCAAGAGCATCCATGCCAGTGTAGATGCTCTCTTGCACAAGAAAGCTCTGATGGCCATTTTAACCATAGGGCTTTCTTGAGCAAGAAATTCATGTTGCCTGTCTACACTGGCCTCTTGCGCAAGAACAGTTGCGCAAAAGGGCTTATTCCTGAGCGGGAGCGTCAGAGTTCTGGCGCAAGAAGCCCTGATTTCATACATTAGAATGTCAGTTTACTTGCGCAAGAACACGTGGCCAGTGTAGACAGGTAGCAAGTTTTTGCGCAAGAGCGGTCTCTTTTACGCAAGATCGCGTCAGTGTAGACACAGCCCAAGTGTGGAGAAACTGCAGGCTGTCAAGTGGCTTGTATTTAGGCAAATCAGTATCCTCACAACTGGAACCTAAAGTTTCAGTTTCATCATCCCTGTTAAACTCAACTGGCCTAGTCGGATGTGCAGTCAGATCATTAAAAATATGGTTATTTATACTGTGCCAGGATTTGTTAACTGTTCATGGTATGCACTGTAGATAGTATAGCTAGATTAGATTATTAAATTATTTTGATATTTTGGGGAAAAAAACAAATATCTGTGCCACTGATCCAAACATTTGACTGTCATTTGCTGCAGTATTTTTGTGCTATATTGTCTGTGCTAATTTAGGCCCTGGGGACTAATTTAGAACCTGAAAACAGATGTATCTGGGCACCCCATTACATCAACACTGAGCCCCCATTGAAGTCAATATGAACTCCTCCTGAATTAATTTTAAGGATGTAGTTTCCTTGCAGCTTTGCCTTGATACTTCTGTGTTATGCATAGAGTTGAGTACTGTTAACTCTATCTATCCACACACACAGATACAAAGGTAATCAGAATAGATGTAACTAATGAATGCAAGTGTAATACTGACAGACTCTGGAGCTTAGTACATGAGCCTCTACAGCATGAGCTAAGTTAAGGTTCTCAGTTAAAGTAGTAGAGCAGACTCATTATTTTCTCTGTAAGTGGTTTCAGTGCCACTAAATGGGACAGTGCACTGCCCCCAGAAGGTGTGTGGGTTACACAACACCCAGAGGTCCAAAATTCCAAAATTTCTGGTTCTACTTCTGAGTCTTTTTGGGAACTTAGAAGAGTCTATGTCTACACTTGAGGCTTCTTGTGTGAGAAATATACAAATGAGGCTAAGTATGGAATATTGCTGAGCCTCGTTTGCATACCTAATGAGCCACCATTTTTGCAGAAGAGGCTCTTGCGCCAGAAGGAGCTGTCTACACTGCCCCTTCTTGTGCAAGAAACCCCTTCTTGCGCAATGCCGTTATTCCTGAAAATAATTGGTGTAACGGCATTGCGCAAGAGGGATTTTCTTGTGCAATAAGGGGCAGTGTAGACAGCCCCTTCTGGCGCAAGAGCCTCTTCTGCAAAAATGGTGGCTCATTAGGTATCTAAATGAGGCTTGGTAATATTCCACGCTTAGCCTCATTTGCATATTTCTCGCGCAAGAAGCCGCGAGTGTAGACATAGCCTCTGTGTTTCTTGGGAAAAAAATCACTTAATCTTCCTGTGCAATATTATACTCACTGTCTTTATAACCATTATATAGAAGAATCTAGAGGCCCTGGTGGATGTTCTTTCATCCCAATTAGGCAGAATTCCCAACTAACAGTAGAATCTTTTCAGACGAAATGCTACTGTCTGGGGAGCTGTAGAACTTTGCTGAGCATGTCATACTAAATCAGCCCATAAAACTGAGCAAAGACAATGTCTGTTGCACTAGGGTAGAAGCAGAACCTGTTGCCTGCTTAATTTCAATATCTTATGAGATGCTTATCGGGAATAGTTGGCATGGAAGTTGCAAGCTCACCATTGAGGGAGGCAGTGAAGATGACTGCATTTACTACACTATGGCTGTGTCTAGACTGGCATGATTTTGCGCAAATACTTTTAATGGAAAAGATTTACTTTTGTGCAAAAGCATCTGTGCCAGTGTAGATGCTCTCTTGCGCAAGAAAGCTCCGATGGCCATTTTAGCCATTGGGCTTTCTTGCACAAGAAATTAACGTTCCTGTCTACACTGGCCCTCTTGCGCAAGTATTCTTGTGCAAGAGGGCTTATGTCTGAGTGAGAGCACCAAAGTATATGCGCAAGAAGCACTAATTTTTTACATTACAAAGTCAGTGTTCTTGCACAAATTCTCGCGGCCTGTGCAGCCGCTTTTGTGCAAAATCTTGCCAGTCTAGACGCACCCCTACAGAGGGACAGAAAGCTGTTTTCAGAGGAGCAAACAGAATCAGGATACAAAATACAAAAATACAAAAATCTAAGATCCACCAAGGCAATCTGAAGGCAACAAAGTTGAGTGTAATTGCCATCCTCATTAAGCAGCTATCATTGTAATGAAATAGCATTAGGCTTAATCAGTTTCCTTGGAGACTTTCTGATTAATTGGATTACTCAGTTAAGCAGCCCAAATTAAAAAGAATCAGGTATTGTAATAAAAATCTTAATGGCCTAACTTGTTTTCCTGTTGAGTTGCTCTGGATATGCAATATACCATTCAAAAGCTTGTGACTGTTAGATATCAAAAGTGACTGATTTTTCAAACTGGTCAAGTGGAAGCCAGCTGCTATGAACTTCAGATCAGGTAGATTCAATACTGTGAAGGTGCACTGTTTGTTTTACAAAACCTATACGCAAGTTTACTTAGCAATGCTATACATTGCTGCAGCATGTAGTATTTATTCCATGGCATTTTCTGTTACAGGTGACTTGTAAAGGGAAAAACGTGGCTTGTTTTGCTACTGAATGAAGCATAAAAAGAGGCTAATCCTTCATATATTTATACACATAATTAGCTTTACTTTCCAAGTGGTTCCTTTGACTGCAACAGGACTACTTACATACTTAAAATTAAGCACATGATGAAGTTTTTACTGGACCCGGGAAAAGTCTGAACAATTATTTAATTTTTTTTCATATTAGAAATATCAAATACTGAGTTCTGTTTTTTGTTGGAAAAGTTCTTTCCAGGACTAGAGGGAATTATAATTTTTTAAGAAACAGAAACCTGAGTACATTAAAAGCAGCTGAAGCAATTTTCAGAAATCCATACATTTTTAAACTCAAGGCCAAATTCTCTGCTTGAGTGACTTGTAACGAAGGGAATTATGCCAGGAGAGAATTTATCTTCTATGTTGTTTCTGCTAACACATATTTAATTCAAATAATTGAAAAGCAGTTGGGCAAAAAGTGTTGTTTGAAATAGATTCAAATATCCCTGTATGTCTAATTGAAGGCTGATAAAACTCTTAATCTATGTCTAGACTACATTGATTTATCGGAAAAAGGCATGCAAATTGCACTCCCCAATTTGCATACCGTTTTCCAATAGTTTTTTTGGAAGAGGCTTTTCCAAAATTTGGCCCATCTACACTGGGCCAAATTTCAGAAAAGCTTCCTCTTTTGGAAGAGCCCTTCTTCCTCATGGAAGGAGGAAGACATGGCTTCCAAAAGAGCGCGTGGGCTCTTCTGCAAAAAAAAAAAAAAAAAAAAAAGCAGAAGAGCAGACGCGTTCTCTGGACGCAGTGTAGTTTTTCCAACCCCCATTGTGCAAAGATAGCCTTAGCGAGTTCTACAGTACCCCAAAGAGTTCTCCAGCAAAACAGGAAGTCAAGACTTGATATTTCTAATATACCACAAGCAAGGGAAAACGTCTTTTTATACGTTCTTTATATAGTTAAAAAGAAACAAAAAGCAGCCCCAAATCCGCCCCTCCTCCCCTTTTTTCCAGTTACATGCCAGGTATCCCCTTTATACAGTTTTATTCAGTAAAGCCCTTTATGATAAGGGTAGGGTGGTTTGGGAGTCAGGGGACTGAAAATGGGGAGATTAGGTTTTTCACTCCAAGTCATTAGTTCAAAGCTAGTTAATAATGACTGTAAATTAATTCACTTAGATTTAAAGTAAAAGATTCTGGCCCAAGTTCTAGTCACCCTAACACATCATTAATAACGCATTGAAATCTCCCCTCCCCTGCATCATTGAAGTAGTCATTTCACAAAAACACAGCCCGCTAGACATCTCGGTCACGTCTAGACTACATCCCTTTTTTGTAAAAGGGATGTAAATTAGACGTATCGCAATTGCTAATGAAGCGGGGATTTAAATCTCCCCCGCTTTGTTAGCATAAAAATGGCTGCCGCTTTTTGGAAAAAAGCACCAGTCTAGACACGGATCTTTCAGAAAATAAAGCCTTTTCCGAAAGATCCCTTATTCCTCTTAAAATAAGGGATAAAGGATCTTTCAGAAAAGGCTTTATTTTCCACAAGATCAGCGTCTAGACTGGCGCTTTTTTCCGACAAAGCTCCGTGCGGGAAAAAAAGCAGCAGCCATTTGTATGCTAACGAAGCGGGGGAGATTTAAATCCCCGCTTCATTAGCAATTGCGATACGTCTAATTTACATCCCTTTTACGACAAAGGGATGTAGTCTAGACGTAGCCCTCCATTCCAGCCTTTCACCCTTGTGGGAAGCATATCCTTGGCCTTCTCTAAAACCCTTCCCAAATGAGTGTCTTTGAGAATGTGCCCACAAGTCATTAAATCTAAGTTATTTCAGACTTTGCAGAGGTGATAGTTTGAGAGCCATTACAAAGAAGACCCTGTTAGCTGCCCAGTTTGTGAAGGATACAGCTCCAGACCCTAACTCACTATAGTTGGGACCTGAGAAAGAGGTGGTCCTTCAGGTAGGCCAGACCCAGGCCATTTATGACTATATCGGCGATAACCAACACCTTAAACTCCCCCCAAAGACTATTCTGGAACACCGGTGTTATGGGCTCCTAGCAAAATGCTTCATTCAACAAATGTACTCCTGTGTTTTGCACCAGCCTCAGTCTCTGAATGGTTTCAGGAGTAACCGCATGTAGAGATCATTGCAATAATCTAGAAATAACAGCATAGATAACTGCGGCAAAGTCCACATCCAGGAGGACAGTTCACAGTCTCCTAGACAGACATGATGGTAAAAAATAGTCTGTTAGCTCTTTAGAGGCCCACATTCAGTACTATGAGTTGCTAGTGTTTTTAATCACTGCTACAAAAACCTAAATTGTCTCCCCTTTTATCAGTGGTCAGCTCAGATTGCTAGGACTGCATGATCCTCAAGTGTACTCCCCTCACTCTTATAGATGGCCTCTTTAAGCCCCCTTGGTGGGTTCTCCAGTTTGGGAACACATGCACTGCTTGTGCCAAAGCTGTACCTGTTCTCTTGCTAGAGAATTTTCCTTTCTCATGCCTGCCATTCTGGCAGCTTTCCCCAGCACTGAGGGGGAAAAAAGGCTATTGTAGTCTAGTTCCCAGTTCATTCAAATTCTATATTCCCCTTCAAACACATGCACTTCACAATGGCACACAAAATCCTTGGTTTCTAAGGACAGCCGCAAAGAGAAGACTCATTGTCCCGCTCCTGTGTGAGAGATGAACCACTCCTGTCTTGGGTGGAAGATCTCACGCAGTACATTCACAGACTTAACAAGGTTCTTTTATCTTTAACTACTCAAGCACTTGGAAGCTGGTAGGGTTGCAAGATGGTTTCAACAAAAATACTGGACACACTTGACAGTACATCACAATCTACATTACATCTTATTTAGAAAATACTGGACATTTATATTTTCTCGATTTGTTTCCCGAACAGAAAGCTCAAATACTGGACTGTCTGGTTCAAAACCAGACACCTGGCAACCTTAGAAGCTAGAGTTGTGAATCTTTTCCTTGACCTTGCAGAGGCCAGTGTACAGTCTTGTTCTCTCTCTCCTCCCACTTACCTTTGAGACCTAACACATTCTAAATAAGGCTATTGAATCTCTCCACCTGGGTTGCAGCAACTTGCCCAAAACAATGCACTCAGTGGCTACGTCTAGACTGGCATGATTTTCCGCAAATGCTTTTAACGGAAAAGTTTTTTCCGTTAAAAGCATTTGCGGAAAAGAGCGTCTAGATTGGCATGGACGCTTTTCCGCAAAAGCACTTTTTGCGGAAAAGCGTCCATGCCAATCTAGACGCGGTTTTGCGCAAGAAAGCCCCAATCGCCATTTTCGCCATCGGGGCTTTTTTGCGTAAAACAGTTTTTAGCTGTCTACACTGGTCCTCTTGTGCAAAAACATTTCCGGAAAAGGGCTTTTGCCCGAACGGGAACGTCAAAGCATTTGCGCAAGAAGCACTGATTTCGGACAGTAGAATGTCAGTGTTTTTGCGCAAAATCAAGTGGCCAGTGTAGACAGCTGGCAAGTTTTTGCGCAAAAACGGCCACTTTTGCGGAAAAACTTGCCAGTCTAGACGCAGCCAGTGAGTCTAAATGGGAACCTTAAAAATGGGACTTAGCTCTTGACCAACTATTGACAAAGATAAGGGCTGCCTATCTTGTCAGACTAATGCAAAATAAAATAGACAAGCTTTCAGGAAAGGAACCCTCTTCATTAAGCTCTGGGAAACTGAGTGAGGGACAAGAATTAGGAAGTGTGGAGAAGATATGTAGGAAAGGGTTGTTGGCCCCTCCTGGCTGCTTTTAAACAATGGGTTTTGCTGTACTTCCTTTTAAATCTGTGACAAAATGGAATTGCCTTTGAGGTCAATAGGAGCAGGCCCAGGCCCCAGTGATTGTAAACAGGTGATGCTGAGCTCCAATTGTCATCTATTAACAATGGTACAGCTGCAGGCTGGTGGCTATAAATGCTGTGGGAGCCATAGTAGTTGGTAATTTCTCACTAAGAATGGGCTTTGCTAGAAAATATTTGGTGGCTGTTTGAGTGTTGCCTGCTTTTACAACTGTATGTAACATAGTACTTTCTCTTAGAGATGCAGTACAAAGGAGCTAGAGGGAATCACTATTTCTGGTTTATCAAGTAGTATAATGTGATTTGTGTATCTGTTGTGGGAAGCAGATGACCTATTTAGTAACCCTTTTTGGTGAAGGGGGATACCCTTTATGCTTCATCCTAATCTTATTTATGCAAGGCTTAACATCAAAACATCTCCTATGGGTTGTTCCTGATTTACACAAATGAGGTTAGGGTCAGGATTTATTTTACCAAAATTGAACTAAAGTCTGTTTGGTTTTTCAATGTGTTTTGTTGGGGGGGTGTGTGTGTGTGTGTGTGTGTGTTTTGGTAATTGTAGTTGGTTTCTCCTTATGTAGCTTAGTCCAATGAGAGCTATGATCAATCCAAAGTCCTGTATGTGTGAAGTTAGGGCTAGAAATTTGATATTGTTATCTAAAATAATGAATCTTTTAGGAAGACAATAGGGTGGTTACTTTACAATCAGTAACTCCCTTTACTGATTGAAAACAATATGCTGGTGTCAATTGTATTCCACCTGTGTCTTTTTAGCTACAATGAACGACTGGGACAAGAGTGACGAACTTATCCAGAGACTGGATTTTTCCAGCTGTGGTGAAGAGAATGAGATGGAAGAGTACAGTAGTATACAAGAAGAGGATCCCCAGGATTCAAGCCCCCTGAAGAGCAGTGATTTTCAGAGTTGGAGAATTAACAGTTCTCTTACAGTAACCCCAAAGAGAAAAGTAGGCGATGTCTCTCTGACTCAGACTAAAGCATGGGTGAGTCCCACTGTGGACTCTGCTTCATCCTTCAGAGGGAATGCTAGCCCTGCCTGGGAGTGTCCTGGGACTCCACTGCATTATGTCACCTGGAGAAAACTGCAGCTGTGTGACACCCCACACACCCCCAAGGTAAGGAAATGTCTTTACAGCTAATGGTAAATATATGTATTTTGTATTCTATTAGGTGAGCAGTAGGGGCTACTACTAACTGAGTGAAATGGGCTTGTTTGGCTGTCCCCTTATTGGGTCTCTCCTCTTCCACACTACTGGTTTGTATCCCGCAAACTCTAGACATAACGGCTGTGTCTACACTGGGCCACTTATTCCGGAAAAGCGGCTGCTTTTCCGGAAAAGCAGCCGCTTTTCCGGAATAAGCTGCGAGCTGGCTACACTGGCCCCTTGAATTTCCGGAAAAGCAGCCGCTTTTCCGGAATAAGCTGCGAGCTGGCTACACTGGCCCCTTGAATTTCCGGAAAAGCAGCCGCTTTTCCGGAATAAGCTGCGAGCTGGCTACACTGGCCCCTTGAATTTCCGGAAAAGCAGCCGCTTTTCCGGAATAAGCTGCGAGCTGGCTACACTGGCCCCTTGAATTTCCGGAAAAGCAGCCGCTTTTCCGGAATAAGCTGCGAGCTGGCTACACTGGCCCCTTGAATTTCCGGAAAAGCAGCCGCTTTTCCGGAATAAGTGGCCCAGTGTAGACACAGCCAACTATTGGCCTCTTAACGCTAAGGGGATTCTAAGGCAGCTCTCACTTAAAACAAAGCTTAAGCTCAGTACAAAGGGATGCTCTTTAGAGTAGTTAAAAGTTGCCTCTGCTTAGAATTCTCACCCACAGAGGTAGATGACTTTTTTTCTTAATAGATTTTGAGGATAAAACAGACAATTATTTGTATCTACCTAGTATTTGGAGACAAGCTATTGAACGGAATTGCTTATTCCTAGATCTCAGATCATTCTTTGGACATAAATGGAGCTCTTTATTAGCAAGAGCTGAACAGAAAAAAGGGAGCGTTTCGTAACACATTTTCCATTCAAATCTGAAATGTTTCCAACTGGCTTCTTCTGTACAGCTACTCTGATATTTCCTTCTATGCACAAAACTGTATATCAAAGCTGGGGCTGGGCAGGAACCATTCTGAGGGTAAACTAGCTTTGCATGAGGCCTTAGGGGGTGGAGTTAGGAAAAGAATAAGGCTGAAAAACTAATTTGCCTTCCTCTAGCTCACTGATAACAGCATATTTGTTGCACACAAGTCAGATGCTTCTTGGAGTGGGTCCCTTTGATCCTTACTGTGTGCTTCATAGAACTTCCTGAACAAGTTTTCTATAGCTCAAATTGATGTGGTATATCAACAAAACAGACAGTGCTGAGCTTATGTCTTGAGTGACTTTTACTGCCTTTTGCCTTGCAAAAATCTCATGGGCTAAATTTAAAGATTTTAGTCTGTCTAGCTCAGTGTTTCTCAACCAGTGGCAGGAGCACCTTCAGGGGGTACTTGAGTGAAGTCTGGGGGGGGGAATATGTCAACACAACTGAAATTTGAAGAACTGAATTTTTAAGTTTTACAGTGCTTTATTTTTGTACTTTTTACACCCAAAAATTTTCACTGCCTGCCTGGCTACAATTAAGTTGTTTAAATAAATGTGATGCAGTGGTAGGAAAAAAATTGTCTGAAAACTGTAAGTACTGGAGGTACTCATTATTAGGAAAAAGGGGTACTTTATATTAAAAAAAAGTTGAGAAACACTGGTCTAGCTCGTCAAAGAGAAGATTGCAGGTAACTTGACTAGAATGAATCTTCATGGAAAGAAAATGGAGATACTAAAGGGCCCTCTTCTTTAGAAAAGAGGCATAAACCAGAAATAAGATACAAACCCTTTCCAGTGGTTGAGCACCCTTACTGGTAAGTAGCGGAGTTATCCTATGCTATCAAATCTAGACTGGTGATGCCTCTCTGGAAGAAGTATGTTAGCCAAACAATATTGGGCTCATGGAGCATAACTGTGTGTAAATCTAATGGTGGCCTTGAAACTTGAAATTGCCCTGTTCTCACTGGTTCAAGGTGGATGTCTGAGGACTCCATAACCATTGTTTTGTATTGTTGTTAATGTCAAAAGACCATAAATGCTAAGAGCAGTATCAGTTGTTTTAACTCACTTGTCTTCTGGCAGTGCTCAGACAACTAAAAATGATGTCCTTTATGATCTTCCTAACTAAACTGTGATATAGCTATTTGTGGCTTCATAGATCTAGGTCTTGGTTAATGAAATAGAAATAATGGACACAGGATTGTCAGTAGTGGGGAAGAGAAGAGCTTCTTGGACAACTCTAGCTGCATAAATAGCTCTACAGTACCCCTTCTCATGAAATCAGAAAAGAATTATAGGAAATCCAAGCCTTTTCAGAGAAGATGCAGCTAGATAGCAAAACTACCTTTTTGGTGGATCAGGCCTGAGGACAAACTGACGGTGTTACTGTGTGCCCGGAACAAAACAGTTGCTGTTGAAACAGTACCTATAAGACACACTTAACTAACTTTTTTATTTTATTTTTAAATCCCAGAGTCTTTTAACAAAGACTGCTTTTCCTTCAACCATGGGAAGATTCCCCTCCAAAGGTCCCCGGCACTTGAAATTTACTCCTGGTGCTGATCCAGATGATTCTGTCCAGGCTTCGCTGGTCAACATTAACCCATTTACACCAGAATCATATCGACAGATGCTCTTTCCTCCTAGTAGCAAGAGGAAAGCCAGAGGGGAACTGTAAGTGTACTGCTGCTAAACCAAAGAAGGGGAGGGAAGGGAATGGATTTTTTTAAACTAGGCAAAGATGGAAGAACTTTTGGTATATCTTTCTCTTCATGCTCTCACCAGAATGTAATCAGGCATGTGGAGCAAACACTACAGGGAGGTGGGGCTGGTAAAACAGACATGTGGAATAAAGAACCACTCTGGCTTCCTTTCTATGGGGAATAAGAATGTAATATAGCCTGTGCTTAAAATATCTGTATTAAGTACTACAGGTTGAACCTTTGTCTGGTACTCTCTGGTTTGGCAATATCCATGGTCCAGCATGATTTTAGTTAGTCAGATGTCCACTTATCATGGGTATGGCCAAGTTTCTGCATATCCTTGACCCCTACAAAAAGTCAATGCAGATGATATCCGGTTGGGACCTAATCTAGAATACATACCAAAACCTGGTTTTATAGTAAAGTTCTGCTTGTTTTCCAAGGTCCCAAACTGCATCTAGATATTCCCTGAGCAGGGTTTTCTATAAACCTATTGGCAAAACCCTAGAGGCAGTTCTTCCCTAGTGCTTCCCCAACTTTCACCTTCGTTACAGCTGCAGAGAAAGTGCAGTGGTGACAGGCGATCAAATTAGCTACTGCTCTGTCTGTGGTGGTTGGAATGTGCAGGCTTGCTAAACTGGAACATGAATTTCCCAGTTCAGGATTGCAGCCTTTTTTGAAATGCACAGTGTACTGATCTTCTTGAAGCACCTATATAAATATTTTACCAGACTTGAGTGTTCTGAAACAGCTCTTTAAATATGTAAGCATGTGAAACCTAACCCTTGTGACTGCTGCAACATGATAGTGTGTGTCCAGGCTCACTTCTACGGCTAAAGATCTCATTTCAGGGAAGATCCCACTCTAAGCCGGGGCAAGGTGGAGCAGGGGCTGCCAGCCACGGTGAGTGTCTTCACATGGTTACCTGGTTCAGAGAAAATTACTCCTCATAGCTGTACTAGTGTTGTACTAATGTATGCTATTGTGTGACTCAGTAACATTTTTTTTTCCTCCTAACATACCCGAGTTTGAATTAGTAAAGAATCTAGGAAGAACTAAATGTGGTACTGTAGTTTACTAAAAGTCACTGGACTGAAAGTAACTTACTTGCATTTGGCCTTATCTGAAACATTGACAGCTAATCCTAGAATCTCACTGGTCCTGGCCAACATGCCATTCTAAAGCCATTGCCTGGTGGCCCTGACATGTGTTTCTTTACTGGAAGAGTAGTAGCTACGGTAAATATGGACAAGCTCTTGCTGTCTCAACATGTCTGGAAAGAGTAATCCTATTGATGAAGTAGGATAGTAAATGTGAATGGAGCCTTTTACATTTCCAAATAATTTATCTGTAGACTTAGAATAAATATTTTCTTCTTAACTTAACACTGGAAGGTGCTAACCATTGAGACTGGTGGTTCTGTTGCAGCAGCTGACATCTCAAAAACCTGAAATAAGGTCGTTCATTCCTAAATGAAGCTTAGGTGTTTAATCTCCCTTTCCTGTTGAAGGAGATGATGGAATCTTGCACTTGCTCATGATGCACACGTGAAAGACTCCTCTTTTTACTATTTTGAATAGTACTTGTATACCATATCAGCCACTCCCAGCATTTCACTGACCTGTCTGAAGACGACTGAACTGTAATACAGTTCTGTCAAACTGTGCTACAGAGCGGCTAACTACAGGCTGGACCTCCCTGGTCTGGCACCCTCGAGACCTGAGGTGTCCCAGACCAGAGTTTGCTGGACCATGGGAGGTTAATGCTCCCCTGCTGGCTGCTCTGCTGGCAGCTCCTCTCCCTGGGAAGCCCAAGACTGGGGTTTCCTGCCTTGATGCTACTCCCCTAAAGCTGGCCTGCCTGAGGCTCCCTACCGGTTGAGCTGGGAGTTCCCTGCGATTCCCCAGCCAGGGCTACCTGGCTGCTGCTAGCCCTGCTTCCTCTAAGGGTTCCTTGGGGTTCCCTGGCTTGAGGCTGCCTGACCACCTCCAGCACTGCTGTTGCAGCCTGGCCCTGCTGCTGGGTCTGGAACTCCCCAGCTGCTGCCCGGACCCACTGCCCAGGTTTCCTGGCCAGGGCTGTTGGCTGCTGTGTCCCGTCTCTTCCCCCAACAGCTGGGGGTTTCCTGGTCAAGGCTACCCAGCCATCCCAGTCCCACTGCCATGGGGTGGGGGGGTTCCCCAGTCCCACTGCCAAGGGCTTTCTGGCTGCTTGCCCCCACTGGCAGTAGGGGGGGTTCCCTGACTGGGGCGGAGGCTCCCCAATGCCCCCAATGCTGCCTGGCTGGGCTGCTGGGGTTCCCCTGCCTAGCCTCTTCTGACCCAACTAGGACTCTGCAGAGCCTGTGTTCTCCTGGCTGGCTTCTGCTTTTGGGGCTCTGTGTTCCAGCAACATCTGGGGCCTTACCAGACCTCAGATGTTGCCAGACCAGAGGCCCAGATTTGGGAGGTTCAGCCTGTAGAAGTGAGTTGGTGGCAGAGCTGACCAAGTCCAGACCCCATTCATTTCTAAACTCTTCCCTTATCATTTATCAAGTATAAACATGCACTGTGCCAGTATTGTATGCTAGATTCCAGTAAAGCATTCTGCATGTAGGCAAAGAGCAGACATAGCTATAACAGGAGAACTGTGCTCTGTACCATCTAGTAAAACCATCCCCAGGGAGCAAAATAAGCACGTTTTACTTGTATAAGTGCTTCTTGCTAAGGCCTTCTGCTAGGACAGCTATATTAGTTGGAGTGTACTGGCAGAAGTCTACAGTGAAGACTTAGAGAATCACATTTAGATGCAAACTTTATACCAACTGAATCTACTGACGTCACTGGAGCGTAACTTGTTTCCACCAACCCAGACTGACCCTCATTCTGTTAATATTTTCTGGTCTAGTCTTGACCAAAGGCTTGTCACTACTTCAGCTGAATTAGTCTTGGATTTACTCAATATTCTTCCTTTTATTTATTGCAACAGTCTTCCGTTGTTCTTCCCTATGTAACAACTAACCAAACAATTGAGCTGCTTTTAAATTTCAAACAAAGCCAGAATCATTTAAGGGAGGGTTAAAGGAAAAACTCAATATCTCCATTTAAATAGGATAGAAACCTCTATTCCTTTACCTTAGAGTCTCGTACTACTTCAGACAATGAGTGAATACAGTTACAGGAATATTCATAAAAGCGTAGTCCTGTGGCACCTCAGACTAACAAAGGTATAGGATCATGAGCTTTTGTAGGTAAAACCCACTTCATCAGATGAGTGTTACCCACAAAAGCTCACGATCCTATACTTTTGTTAGTCTCTAAGGTGCCATAGAACTACTCATTGCTTAAGTTGAACTAACACAGCTACCCCTCTGAGGTATATTCAGAGGCTAGCTTTGGCTGCATTGTGCTAAGTAATGGAGAGGTGGTGCTCCCTACCTGTGAAGGTCAGTAATGCAGCTTATTTTTTTTTTTACTTGGATTATGAAATCTGTCTTGCAAAGCAGAACAAATACAGCAATATGCTAAATACTGTGTTTACCACAGTAACCCTTGATGGCGCCACGTATAATTATAGGCTACTATACTTGTTAACTTACCACTTAGCAATTATTGTTTCAACACCAGTCAGACAATACTACTTGTTTAGGGTGAGTAACACAGTTTGGCCTACTGTTAAGTGTGAGCATGTACACCAATTCAGGCGCCAGGTTTGTTTTCAAGACTTTTTTTTTTTAAATTATTATAGGCCTTTGGAGCCTTTTGCTTTTAAAGTTTGTAATGAGTTGGGTACCTATGATTTTTTTTTTTATGCTGAAGTGCATGGGGGCGGGCACATCTCTGCAGAACCTCTTCCGCAAACATCTGAGGCAATCAGTCATTGCATATGTGTAATGTGAGTCTCCTTTTAGGGAGAGGGAAAAAATATAGACTACTTCTACTCTTTATTTCATGTCCCAGTTTCTCTGGTCCCCCACTATCTTGGCTATCACGTTCACTGTCTTGTATCTTTCCTTTCTCCCTTGGATATTCATTGTTGGCAGATACCTTCTGTTTTCTACCTTCCTCTTGTATGTTGACCACTGATATGCAGGTTGACTGTTTTCCAGTTGATCTCCTAGGCTCTTATTTGTGTGAAGAACAGCCTGGGCAGATGTATTCTCTGCCAACTTGGACAGCGAGCATTGACTGAATCACTTGTCATAGACTTGCTTCAACAAATACTGCAAAGACTATTGAAAGCATATTGATCAGTTTGAACTGCTGCAGTATTGCCCTTACCATAGGCAAATATAGAAAAACAATGAAGAAGTAATTTGTACATAGCTTGTGTGCATGCTAGCCAAGTTACCAAAATGGTCTCCTAAATTTAAAACCTGCATTAGTTTTCTGACTTAAACCAGAACAGGACATGTTGAACCCCTCTCTAAATGTTTAAAACTCTGCAGACTGGTAGACCCTACCCACTTACCCCAGTGCTTCTGAATTTGCTTTGTCCAGTTAATTGATATGTCCTGACTGGCCCTCTAGTGGTCTTCCATCTAGAAGTTCCTTCTCCAGAGGGACACGCTAACAGGGTGGAAGGATACCTGTACCACTGAACAGTCAAATATCTGTAACTGATTCCTGTGTGACTCTGCTATAATGAATGGTTGAAGTCTAATACCATTATCCTCTTCTGCTGCTCAACATTCAGGATGGTTATTTTGGCTGTAGTCATGGCTACTTCAGCTTTAGGTAGGCCAAGAGGTCTAGGCCATGGGACCAGTTAGCTAGACCACCATCCTCCATTCCTGATGTGTATTAACTAATTGCTATGCCAGGGAGTCACAGTGGAGAGGGAATTCTTAGCTACTTTCTGCTTGGCCTGTCAGGTCATCATGAATGGCCATGGAACCTTAAACAAATGATGGAAGGAGGCCATTAGCGATACTGGCAGGAGCGCTGTCTCTGAATGGTTGAGAGTACACAAAGTAGGGGGGCTGGAGGGAGATTGTATATGTTTTGCAGGACCCACTAGGCACCTTGGTGCCCAATGTGTCTCATTTTTCTTTCTCATGTTGTTTTGCTTTGTCTAATCCTCTAGAGATTTCTTTTGAGAGAGAGCAACATGGTTTCCCGCTACAAGAAGGAATTCCTGGAGTTAGAAAAAATTGGGGTAGGGGAATTTGGTTCTGTCTACAAGTGCATCAAACGCCTAGATGGATGTGTGTATGCTATCAAGCGCTCGAAGAGGCCTCTGGCAGGATCCTCAGATGAGTGAGTGTACAATCTGGAAACTACTGTGGTAAAAAAGCATGGCCAGTTGGGGTGTTAATGGAATGCTAGCCCTATCTTTGAGAGGGAGAAGGAGGGAATAGTGTAGGAATACATGTCTCAGGGTCTTAGATGCATATCTTTGGAAACTTATAATTATCAGTCCCCAGAATAAGCACTGGAAGGAGGAATACATTAAAACAGTGGGGTGTTCATATTCATAGCTCATAGTTCATACGGCCTCTTTACATTTCTGACTTACCACCTTTATGGATTTCATGAAAACATAATGGTAATATTGGGTGGGACCAATGGTTTCTCCAGCCCAGTATCTTGTCCAGCATGTCGTTAATCTGTCTGATAACGTTGGCTAGAGACAGACTTAAATTTGCCCTTTTCTGTTCAATTCCTCTTATCAAGTGATCAGTCCTGTCATCCAGTCCCAGTTTCTGGCAGTCAGAAATTTAGAGATCATAACCAGAAGATTGTGTACCTGACCATCTTGTCTGATAGCCATTGAATGACTTATTGTCCATGAAGTTACCTAATTTGTTAAACTTGCCAGGGGATGCTGTGACTGAGTTCCACAGGCTGACTGCATAATATGTCAAGTAATTCTTAGTTTTAAATCCTGAGGCCTATTTAATTTCATTGGGTGACCCTTACCTCAGAACCCTCAGTTGTGTATTTCTAAGCTGAATGGTCCAGTCTAGTTAATCTCCCTTCCTATGGAAATGGTTTCATATCCCTAATAACTTCACAATACCAATATCCTTGTGTGAGAAGGAAGGGTAACCAGCACAGTTTGCAGTATTCAAAGTATGGGCATACTATTGGATTTATATAGTGGCATTTGTTATCGCTTTCCTAGTGGTCACTAATGTTCTGTTAGCTTCTTTGGCTGCTGCTGCACATAGAACAGTTTCAGATAACTATCCACAATGACCCAAAGATCTCTCTTCAGTGGTACCAGCCAATTTAGACCCTACTTTGTGTATTTGGGATGGTCTTCCTATGTGCCTGACTCTTTGCATTTATTGGTCCTGAATGTCATCTGCCACTTTGTTACCCAGTCACCTAGTTTTGTGTGATCCCATTAACTTTTCACAATTAGCTTTGGATTGGATATAAATAACTTTGAATGCTATATTGTCGCCACCCTTTGCCACCTCACTGTTGACCCCTTCTCCAGAACATTTATGAATGTTGATCGGCACTAATCCAGTACAGATCCTTGAGGGACCCCACTATTTACTCCTATCCACTGTGAAAACTGTCTGTTCATTCCTATCTGTTACATAGTTCCTGATCAAGAGTATCTTCCCTCCTTACCCCAGGACTAGGATTTCAGAAAAATCTAAGTACACTGTATCAATGGGATTTCCATTGCCCACATGTCTGAGACATTCTTCTCCCCCCTCAAAAAAAAACCCTAATAAATCAAGACAGGATTGCCATCAACAAAACAAGTGCTGACTCTTCCTCAACATATTGTGTTAATCTATATGTCTGATAATTCTGTTCTTTGCTGTAGTTTTAAACCACTCTGCCTGGTGCTGAAGTCAGGCTAGCAGTCCTCTACTTGCCAGGATCGACACTAGAACCTCCTTTACAAATTAGGATTACATTAGCGATCTACCACTTAACTAACTGGGTAGCCTCTAATCCCATGCAACCATCTGGCAAACCCCACGGTATCTGTTGCAAGTACTACTTTGTGAAACAGCATGTGAATTTGATACACTCTGAAGAGCTGGGCCTCTTGCTCATGTTGTGCTGGCTAAAAGGTGCTTCCTATGTAGTTCTGGCAATGACACTCTTCCTTAATTATTAGCGATTGTTGAAACACAAGGCATGTCTTGGCTCCTGCTATAGAAGGGAGTAACTTCACAAGAATGTGCCCAAGTCCTGTACTTGCAGCTTTAGGTGCAGGCAGGTGGAGTGGTACCAGTCTTATCACTGCATGATAGAATAGTCAGCTAAGGTAACAAATATCAGATGCTTCATCCTGTGGACATGGCCCTGTTGTGCTGAAGCTCCCCAAGCAGAACCTTGAAGTTACTGCGAGTTTTTTGGCTTTGCTGTCTACCTGCCAGCCTTGCTCTAGCTCTGATATGCCCTGCCAATGCTCCATTAGTGGCTGCTGTGGCTTTGGTTAGTACAGATTACTTCCACCTGATCTTAACTGCTGCATATTAGTCTGAAAATGCCCCTTCCTAAGGACAGAATGGGACTATGAGCTGATTGAATGGCATTAATAGGCTAAACATGTCTTTTCAGCATAAATGTACATCTTTCCCTTCCTGGCCTGACTGGGGAGTTGAGATCTGGTTCTGAATTAGGGCTTCAGTGCCCACCCAGAAACTCCATTTCTAGAGGATGACCAGTGTTCCTTCTGTTTCTGTCTCTAGGCAAATGGCCTTGCGGGAAGTCTATGCCCATGCAGTCCTTGGACACCATCCCCATGTTGTGCGCTACTACTCTGCATGGGCAGAGGATGATCACATGATCATTCAGAATGAACATTGCAATGGTAAGAACCTATGGAGAGCTCCATCGTGCAATGGATATCAACTTGAGTTGGGTTTTATGTACGTTTATAAACTATAGCATTTAAGTTTAACCTTAATGTTTTGTCTTGAGCCGGGATGGTAACAGCTAGCTGATGTGATGGGGAACTCGACATCGACAATGGGTAAAGAGACAACTTTTAAATATAAACTTTAAATGCAGGGTGGGATAACATGGGTGAACTTTGGGTATGTGCTCATTGCTAGGAATCTTTGTAAAGTTTCTCCTCCCTGCTATGGTACAGCCAACCTGGGGGAATGCAGTCCTGATGCAATTATGGTTTGCAAGTCCACCACCAAGTCTGTCGCTGGAATAACAGCAGTTCAAAAGGAGCTAATCTGGTAAACAAGTGGAACGTACATGGAAGGCAAATTCTCCTCTTCTGATTTAGCTGTGTGAATAGTGCAGTGCCTCAGAGGCAAAACCCTGAGGGGGAAGAACGCCCAACCAGCCTGCTCCTGACCTCATTCCATTAGTCATGTGTTAGTAGCAAGCAGGGTTCCCTGTAAGCTAACCTGCTTAGGTGGCCACCCAGGAGAGATTGAAAAGCTGCTCAGCTGATTAGCAGGTGCCCAAAGCCAGCAGCATGTCTTGGTGCACCTCGCACAATTTATTCTGCACAAGGATGGAGAAAATTAGAGGAACATTGGTGGCAAGTCTGTACCTGAACACTGAGGAGCATTATTACAAACAACTGGTTCAGTTCCATTTAATAGCACGTGAGGTCTGGGATTGCAGTCTTTTTCTGTTGGTGTCATGAGTTTAAAATTAGGTTCCAGTAACAAATGACTCTTGATAGCACAACTTTCATCATTTACTAAGATACCCATGACCAGAGTCGGATGTGTGCAGCACATTAAGGATTAAAGATTAGGTAAAATATTGCAGAGAATGCTATGACTGGTGCACTGACTGTATCTAGGGTCAAGTCGACACTAGACCTAGAAGGTCGGCTTAAGGTACGTAACTCCAGCCACATAAGACGTGTCTGAAGTCGGCTTACCTTAAGCCGAGTGTGATGCAGTCTTCACAGCACAGTCTCTGGTGTGGGAAATGGAAGACGTGGCCTAAATGGAAAGCAATAAAGCAGCTCTGTTTTATTAGTCTTGCCTCCTACACTGTAGAAGTCTGACTTTAAAACAGCCTTCCTTTCTCCCTGACCTGCCTCTCTTAATAGTCAGTCATAGGTCCCTTCCTACCAAATAGCAAGTAGTCTAAAGAGCTGGAGAAACCACCTCCTATGCAGTGCCATGCCAACTTGGTGGTACAGTGGTAAAGACTCTTTACTGGACTCTGGCTATTCTGACCAAGGTTTGTTACCCCTAATGTGGTACTTAGATGCCAATACCTATTAATGTTATCTGAAAAGGAGTTCAAGCATCTCACTTCACTAGGGAAACGTACTTGCATTGAAATTTTGAGTATTTCCCTTAGGTGGGAGCCTTCAAGATGTGCTGTTGGAAAATGCTAAAACTGGGCACTATTTCCAGGAAGCAGAGCTAAAGGAGATCCTTCTGCAAGTCTCCATGGGGCTGAAGTACATACACAGCTCTGGCCTGGTGCACATGGACATCAAACCTAGTAAGTGCATCTTTTCTCTCCTTGTCTGGTACCTCTCTCCTCATGCTGCTTGTAATGTGTGGTGATGGACTGGATGGTAACTTTCCTTTGAGCTGCAGATCTAGGCTCCATGAGGAGTGGGAAGAAAGTGGTACTCATTAGAGAATTCTACTGATCATTCTGAGTCTGGACCTGGATCACTGCTGTGCTCTGTGTTGCTGTTAGAACTGTACTTGAATGCTCTGACGTGCCCTCTTCCTGTTTCATGTGCATGGTATGGAAAGAAGCAACTGCTATACTATTGCATTTCTCTAAAAAGCCCCACTATGGGATGGTGGTGGTTTTTTTTGTTTTTTTGTTTTTTTTTTAATTTTAGTGGGAATCGGCAAAATGTAATGTAAGATCACTGGATTCCACAAACCATGCTTTCTCCAGCAACAAATGCCTATAGTAAAGTAAAAGAAAATGCTGTTATACCTTTCTTTGCAGACCACAGAGCCACATACTTACAGTAACTCTTCCTAGGGAAGGAACTCCTGTATACAGTTAGGTGTTAGTGGAAACTCAAATAAGCATGGAAAAGACACTTATAGGTAGTTTCCTCTCTGTGCTATCAATGCAAAGCTCTAAATTCACTAACTCTCTATTTAATTTATTTAAATATTTTTACCCCGCCTTTCTATTTAAATAGTCAAGGCGGCACTCTTGTGCAATACTCTGATCTTGTAGTGTATACAAATCAAAATGGAACCAATATTAAAACGACCAGTTGAATTTCATAGCTCTGTACAAAGTTGTACAGTTGGCTGTCAAACAATGACTTTAACATCCGGAGAGAACAGGGAAAACATATTTCAGAGATAGTTGTTAGTCTGTCTGAAGCTCCACCAGATTTTCTTTTTTCTAAAAGACTAAAATTTATTAGGGTATTGGTGCATAAGCTTTTGTGAGCTACAACTCACTTCCTCAGATGCTAAAAAGGAAAAGAGATACAGAGTTGGGAGTGTGACGGGATGTAGGAAAGTGCTACTCCAAGTGACAGCTAACTTAATTCAGCCAGCAAAAGTTGTCTGTTTGCACATATTGATCTGACTTGTTTCAGAAATGTGTGTGAACAGTGTAAACTGAGATGGTAACACTCTACTGGCCTGTGTCCTATATACAAACTTTAAGCATCTGTAACTTGTGTGTAAGATGGCTGTAAAAACTGTGGGTTGCCATCATCCTGCAGTTTTTACTTGGGTAAACAGTCTGTTTGCTTTCCTAAGGACTATAGGATTGGATTGTTGGCTAGGGATTTTGTCTACAGGGTCCTGTCTGGCAACTGTCCCATAAGTTAGGGGTGAGGGAATTCTGCCTAATCCAATAAGTGCAACAATTCTCATTGGGGAAAACTAACTTGCCAATTACAACTCAAACTGAACATTGTTCCAGACTAAAACAACCCACAACTGGACAGAGGGAGGGAAAATCAGACTAAATGAGAACTCTTAAATTCTAAAGAAATTAAATGTATTGTGGGGCTTGTCTTCTGCTGAGGTCCTGCAGCTTCATTGGCTATTAGAAATTCAGGTCACTGATACCCATCACAGTAGTAACTCCTCAGTGCCTTAACTAGAGATTTGCTTCTAGTTATGAGATGTTCACGGTCAGATTTTTTTTGCTATTGTCCTGAAACATGTAATTGTGAAACCACCTTCTCCTTTGCAGTTGGATATCATGGTCCAGGAGGTTTCTTCTCTTCTGTGTGTTCAGAGTTAGAAAGAAGGAAGGGAGAAGTGTTAAGTTTCGGATTGGTGACCAAGTGGGTCACCAAAAAAGAGGGAGGACTTGTTGCTCAATAGAGTACTCCTGTTCAAGTGCCTTGAATACTGTGGTGGTGATAATGAGGCTGTAGAAAGTCTACCTTGAGGATCCAGATAAAGTATATGGAAATTGGTATTATATTGGAGTATTTCCTAGTAAAGTGAAAGATGAATACAAGGGGGTGTATAGGTTTAAGATTATATACTTGAAGCAGTAATGCAGGGAGTAGCAGCCACTTAAGTTTCCCTCCAATTCAAAGTAGCATAATGTCACGAGTCGTGCTACCCCTCAGGCTTACAACCTATTCATCATCAGGGTTAGCCACCCGTGTACCTTTCCCTTACTCGTGTTCCCCGTGCCCCAGTCCTGCTTTATGGCTAAGTTCGTGGCTCCGCGGGTAGCGCACTTAGTCTCAACCTAGTCGATGAGGTGCCTCTTGCTGTGAGGTGGGAAGGGGACTAGGGCCCACCCCCACTCCGGGTCCCGACCCAGGACCTTTAAAGGCAGCGGCCCCCTAGTGTCGCCTGGTTGGTGGGGTGTTCCCTGAAACTCACCAATCCTTGGGGATTTTGTTCCCCATCCTGGGTCACTTCCTCCTGGTCCTCCATGTCGGTTCTGGCTCTCACCCCGCCTCGCCCTGGTTCTTCCAGCGTTCTCCCCCGGAGTTTGCCTCCCCTTGCTTTCCTGTTCCGGGCATCTTTTGAAAGGCCTGCTCCTCCTGGCCCTGCCTCCCCGGGGTGAGGGGTAATGACCTCAGCCGTGGAGAAGCCCCGTCGGAGATGTCCCGGCCCCCGGCTGCTCCAGTACATTCCGGGCATGCGCGCCAAGGCGCAGCCTGTACCTGGCACTGTGCCCCCAGCCCAGCTCCTTCCGCTGCCGCAACTGGAGCTATGTCCTCCTTGTCGGAGGCTTCCCCACCCTTGGCTGGCTGGAGAGTGCGGGCTGCCGCGTGCTTCTCCGCTCAGGAGCCTGGCGCCCTGTCACACACATCTACTTCAAGAATTTGGATTTGTAGACCATTAGAATACCTGCAAGAGCATGTCATTATGAATGGTCAAATGTTCAACTAATTACATGATTCTGTCTTGTAGGTAACATTTTCATCTGTCACAAGCTGGTGACTGATGGCTCCGCTGCTCAGGAAGAGAGCGACAGTGAAGATGATGGCTTCTCTTCTAATGTGGCGTATAAAATTGGTGAGTTTAATCAGACTCATGACTGTTTAGCGACTTCAGATGTAACTTGCTCTTAAATACTCAGTATCTGTATAACTATAGGAATGTCTCTCAGTAAGACCTGCAAAACCCAGTCATGGAGGCATAAAGCAGAGAGAGATGCTTGATGAAATGTTTCAGCCTTCCTAGATCTGAGGGAAGTGGTAAATACAGCAAAGTTATTCACTTTGGATTAAAATCCATACTTTTGGATACCTCTCTGAGCCTACCTGTTCTTATGGCTTCTCAGAGCTCCTATAAGGTGTATGCCTAGTAGGATGTCTCCAAGGAAAGCAAATCTGTGGGCTGACTGTTGGATTTCTAGTTGGTATCTCCTTCCTGGTAGGTGACCTTGGCCATGTAACATCGATAACTAATCCCCAAGTGGAGGAGGGAGACAGTCGCTTTCTGGCCAATGAGATTCTGCAAGAGGTACAGCTGATTTTATTCGGGGGAGGAGGGTAGGAGTATGTGTGGAATGGATCTCATTTATTACTTTCTGCTTATGTATTTCCTTCTTGGTCCTCTCCAGAGTTCAATTTGGTTGAACCTCGAGCCAAGAACATAAGACTGGCCATGCTAGATCAGACCAAAGATCTATCTTCCGACAGTGGCCAAGACCAGGTTTCCCAGAGGGAATGAACAGAACCAGTAATCAGCAAGTGACCTGTCACCCATTGCCAACTTCTGGCAAATGGGAGGCATCCTTGCCCATCCTAGCCAATAGCCATTGAACTCCCTTTTTTTCCTGTACAACACAATCCTATAGTGATTGTGTAAATATTTAAATATACATCCCAGCACGTTACATCTCCGTCCATGAGATGGAAAGGAAAATTTCATCTAAATGCAAAAGGGGGTAGAAACCTGACTATTGAATTGATGCAGTGTTAACTCCTACAGCATAGTAAGGTTGCTAACCCAAGGACAAATATTTGTACAACAGGCAAGGAAGCGAAATCATATGTATGTGGGGGTCTTCTCCAACCTAAAACCCCTTTCTTAGACTAGCTTTAGCTTTGTCACTTTGAAAGGATGGTGGCCTTTATTTTGGTTTATGCCAAAGGCAAAAGTTAGTGGCTGTGAACTATATGTGGCTCAAATACACTTTTACCAAAAGAGACTTCCCTTGTGGAATTTTTAGTGTCCGATGTAAGGTTGGAATGTGATGGCTTGAATTCAAATAGATGGATAGGCTAGGTAGTCTAATAGTAGCCCAACTTGCCACCATTTTTTTAAAAGGTCAGTGGCACAGAGTAGCTAGTTCAGAGTCCTCCTGCCATCTTGCTATTTCTCTCAATGTGTGGGATAGGAAATCCTCAGGATTGGGAGGATACTCCCAGCTGTGCACAGCCATTAAAAATTCCACAGTAGAAGTGGACCATATTTTGTCCCTTGAGTCAAAACCGCAAAGAATGAGTGGGATGGTGAAGGTAGTGCCAGGTAACTGCTTTTCTAGAAGAATCTCTGAGCCTGTACTCTTATCTTAATGAAGGACTATATTGCTAAGGGGGGGGGGGGGGGAAACTTGCATGTAACTGGTTCTCTTCACAGAAATACTGCTACCTGCCAAAGGCAGACATCTTTGCCCTGGCATTAACAATTGCTCTAGCAGCAGGGTCAGAACCACTACCTCGCAATGATGTTATGTGGCACCACATCCGCAAGGGCAACCTTCCGCCAATCCCCCAGCAGCTCACACCTGGCTTCCATGGACTCCTTAAGGTGAGGCTCTTCAGGGTGCAATCCAGAGGGGAAAGGGATAGCTCTGGCACTTTATTATAAAACTATAAACTTTGATTCCTTCCCCCCTGCTGCTTCTAGCTCATGATTCACCCTGACCCAGTTGCAAGACCATCTGCCACAGCTCTTACTAAACACCCAATTCTTCGGCCCTCTCTTGGAAGAGCTGCACAACTCCAGAAGCAGCTAAATGTGGAGAAATTTAAGACGGCCATGCTGGAAAGGTAGGGTGTGATTGGGTGTAAAGGAGAGACATTTTCAGACAGTACTACATTGAGCTGACTCTCAGCATGCCAATTGCTCATGCACATTTGGCTTGAGGTGGCAGGTAAAGCCCTGCAAATCTGGGGGTCTGTAGGGAACTTAGTTCCCATGCATGTAGCTACAGGGAGGGTATCTCCTCCCTAACTATACCTATGGCTCAGTGCCCCTCCCTGCACTCGCAAACAGATGCAAAGTTTGTGGGGGGGGAGGCAGTCATGTTTCACTTCCTTTCTGTGAGTTCCAGTGGACTAAGCGTATTGCTAAAACTAGAAGCACTATGGATTCTTTCAATTCTGTAGCTGTACTGCAATGCTACCATCTAGGATTGTTTCCTAGGTAAACTGGGAGATGGTGCCTGTTTAGCTTTGAAAAGCACCAACTTAGCTCTGTAGCTGCTGAGGAATGAGTATAGGGAGATCTCACTTCTTTCTGTTTTTCTCAGGGAACTGAGAGCAGCCCGTCTTGCGCAGACTTTTAGGAAGGACCAGCCCTTGGGATGTGCTAGATTAGAGTCTGAAACCTCTTCCAAACTGAACCGCAGCAAGCGCCTAGTAGGAGGGAAGAATTCTCGCTCATTCAGCTTTACATGGGGTGGCTACTGAAAATCCCATCACCCAGACTGTTGAGCTGACAAGTTGACAAGTGTCCCTGTGGAAGCAGAAGACCTCTGCAGACCAAAGTGCCATGCTAAAACTCCCTGGAATAGATCTTGCCTGCTCCATCATTCATACAGCTTAATGCTACCATGACTGGAAGTAACTAGTGTACAAATATGAGACCTTCTCCACCCATCTAAATGACAATGTCTTGAGTCTTAAGTGGCTTAAACCAGTTTTTGATGCAATGGCTGGCTGATCTAGATGTTTGTTTTGGTTGTATTCTAGACAAGGAATAGATTGATTCCCTTCTACTTATCTCATGCAGCTAAACTAGGGGACAGACATTTCTATGGCCTTGATATTCTGGCAGTGCTTGTACATCAGAAAGGGGCATTAGCAGGTGCAAAGAGGAGAGTGTGTCCATAGCTCAGGACACTTACTCCCACTTAACTCCCTTTGCTCCACCAGGAGTTAAGCATGATACAGCCCAGTCAAGTTGGGATTTGAGCTTTAAGGAAGTAAGCTTGTTAAGACAGCAATTTTGAGATTCTTTGGATCAATGTGAAATGAACAAAGTGATATTGCACTATGGGAAGAATGCACAAGGTAACAGTGTCTTTACTTTCAAATGACTCTCCTGCAGAATCTAAGGGAATGTTTTCCTTTCTAGAAAGCTTCATTTTGGCTTCTGCAGGCCACCTTCTGAAGCCTTATCTCTGGATATGTGACCTTTTTGCCCAGTATTGAACTCATAGGACACAACCTCTTTTTAACATGATGGCAGTGGATGGGTCTATATTTCCTCTGTCACTTGTGCAGAGTTAGATGGAACAGTTGCTTGTCTGCAAGATTGATCTTTCAACAATCCAGAGGGGATGGTAGAAGTGATAATTTAGAATCCTTCAGTTTGGGGATTGCCTATATAAAATGTTAAAATTAAAACTCAAAATAAATCCTGTCCCCTGTAAAATAACTTAATGATATTGTTTCTTCTCTGATATCTTCTTGCCCAAATCCCTCGCAAGTAGAGTATGACTGGGGCAGTATTTCTGGAAAAAGATTCTAAGCCCTTGACTATTTTGATGACATGGTTTTTGTTTCTTATTTAATTTATTTAATTTCACTTCCAGCTGCCGGACAGCATCAGATTTTAAGCTGTGGAGTACTTTCCCTTTATTTTTAAAGTGGAACATGCAAATAAAGATTTTACCATTCTTTTTATCCAAGGCAACTGTGTGTGGGATTTTGTTTAAGATGGGAAGTGATCTTAAAGACCAGACCTGAGCAAAGTAGGGTTTTTTGTTTGTTCCTTTGTCAAGTCCAAATGTATGTGTAAGATGCTAGATGATGTCTTCGCTCTAGGCCATCAGCTCAGTTCTGGCCAATGAGTTGGCTACTGCCCACTCATTGGGTGGTACAAGGAGCAGAGGAATGGGGGAGGAAGAAAAGGCTGGCTTGTTTCCATGTGCAAGTGGACTGGTGCCGTCTATGATAGGGACAGAACCAGCACCTCTGTCAGTCACCTCAAAGTAGGAGTAAAGTATGAATGCGACCTGGAAATGTTGAACTACTTCCAGCCCACGACCATCTTGTAGGACAGTAGCCATAAAAGCTTTTATGAACTGGACTGAACTCAGTGCTTTGTAAAGGAAAACACTTACAGTTGGAGTCTATTAACTTTATTTAACTGACAGTTCCAGGCATGGGTGCTGGCTTCCTCCAGGCCCCAGTGGTGCTTATCCCTCTGCTCTGGCTGCACCAACCTCTTTCTCCAAATCCTGCCCCAAGTATTTTAAAGTTTGCCTACCAACCACCACCTCCGGCATACCATGCAGTAGCTGATTGCAGTGGACGGGAGATGCTGGGATGCAGGGGGGAGAGCTGATCAGCAGGGCTGCTGGTAGACAGGAAGTGCTTAGGATGGAGCAGCTAGTTGCCAGTGTGTGCTAAACACCAACTCTTTTCCCTGTGGGTGCTACAGCCCTGGATCGCTCCCAGTCAGTGCCTAGGGTACTGGACCCAAAGAGCCCATTATCTGTTAAATTTATACCAGTTTAGGTGAGGAAGAGAGACTGAGCATTACTGTTTCCAAGCAAGCTGTCCCTTAACTTTTAGGAAAAAATTCATGGCAGGAGACTGAGTACATTATGCCTTAAACTGATTTGTTTCCACTTTTGGGGGAGGGAGGGGGGAGAAGAGCAACATGGTATTGTACTTGGCCGATCCTTCATTTGCACTTGATAGAGTTGATATTACAACAATGCTAGGAAACAATGCAGCATTAAAGTGATCTTAAGTGCTTATTTTGGGACATAAACATATGATTTCACTCCAGCCTAACTTGGCAGAAAGCTGCTTTATCTAAAATGCAAGAAACTAGAAAATCAACTGTCAAAATAATTTTTCAGACTCACCAGCTCCTAGCAACTAGCCTATCACGACATGCTGTCCCTTCCTTTCTTTCTCTTTCATGAGTGAATAGGACACTTGGCCTGCATCTGTCATTTTGTTCAGCAGTACCTTTGACTTTTTTTTTTTGTAGGAGAAAGGACCTAGACAACAGTTGCCATGATACAATGGCAGCCATAGTCTAGGTCCAACCACCTAATAACAGTTACACTTGCTGCCAGTGGCCTCTGCAATGCTCCTGTACCCAGGGCTGGCTTATCCAATAGGCAGACTAAGCACCAGCAAATCAGGGGCACCAAAAAAAAAAAATTTACAGTATAGTATTTTATTTAAATTACATATGGGGGGCACTATAATCTTTTCAGGCCTCTAAAGATCTTAATGCGGCCCTGCGTGTACCCTTGTCCCATCACCTGCATTCTTGTGTAACAGAGGGGAAGATTGAGGCATATGCACATTGTTCAGCTAAATTTTAAGAACATTCCCACATAGCCATGGCTATTTTAATTGTTTGCCAATTTACATTGTAACTACTATGGGGCAATGCAGGTGGGGTGGAATGCTGATCTCACACGATGCACAGAGGACAGACAACATTCTGTGCCTACAAAAGCTCACAATACTATCTACATGTTTTGATAATCTTTAAAGTGCTTCCATACTATTTGTTGTTTTTAAAGTTTATCCTGTACAGTCTAACTCCATTACCCCCTGCAGAGTTATGTAAGCGTTATAAAAATAACTTTGTCAACCTCCCTCCCTTGTTAACACCACTATCGCAAAGCATCTTCAAGCTACTACTAGTAAATAGTCAAGCAGCAGTGCCATGTCAATTCCAGTCCTCTCTAAAAACTTTGTCCCAGGAGGTTGGGGGGTATGGCCTTAGGCAACAACCTTCCACAGTCATAAAAGTATTTTCCCCAGTAGTAGTGCTCATTCTTCCTACAGAGGGGGTGTCAGGTATGGGTGTTTTGACCAAAACGCCCTCTCAAAGAGACACTGGCACAGGCCTGCACCAAGCCATTCTGGTGCCCCAGGCAGACAGGTTAATTGCACCCCAGGTTGGGGGAGGGCACATCCATGACCCCACTCCACACCAGCATGTGGGGGAGGGTGCCTGCGCCTGACAGAGGCTGCATGGAGCTGGTGGCAGCAGGATGCATGTGCCCAGCCTGACTACCGCCCTGGCGTGCAGCCTGGGGCGGGCCAAGCTTGGCAGTGCAGGGCCTCGTGACCGTGCGGGGGGGGGGGGGGGGGAGAGGAGCACTGCGGGCTGGGTCTGTGGGGGTTAATGCAGCCCCTACCCTGGGTGGCTGCTGCAGGGTGGCCACTGGGAGCTGCTGCAGCCTGCGATCTGGGAGCCAGGTGTGCGGTCCCTGAAGGCAGCTATAAAGCGTGCCCCCCCCCATAGGTTGGCTCACCAGGTAGCTGCCTGGCTAGTGCATGCCTTAATCCGGCCCTGCACAGGCTCACTCAATGCTACGGACCTGGCCATTAAATATAGTTAGCTGCCCACAGCAGGGCAGGTAGGGTGCTTACCTAGCTTGGCCGGGTTCTAGGAAGCTGCTGGCATCTCCCTCTGACTGCCAGGGGCAGCCATGGGGGCTCCATGCACTGCCTCAGCCTGGCCTCTGCAGCTTCCAGCGGTTGCAACGGGTGTCAAAGGGAGCTGGGTGAGTGGTGCCTCGAGGCAGGGGCAGAGCGGGATCCACTTGGCCAACTGCTGCCTAGGACCTTGAGGTAGGTGCTAGCTGGAGCCTGCACCCCAAGCCCTTCATCCCGCCCCTGCACCCAGCTATGGGCCCCTCCTGCATCTCGAACCCCTCACTGCAGCCCGCGCCCCCCAGCCCGCACCCTCTTGCGCGACTCTGCCTAGTCAGGAGCAGCCAGGGAGAAGCGCACTGGAGGGAAGGGCACGGGGCAAGCTTCGAAGAAGGGGCGCG